GACAGCCAGGATTACAGGGCAGGCGGCGACACTGGTCTGGGTTGAACCCACAACATCACTGTTTGACCAGAGACCACCGCTTTGGTATCACACACAGCACTGGAATTTGCTGACAGCAAAACTAAAGGACATTTATTTGAAGAGAGACAAGAGATTCAAACAGAAACAAGAGGAGGGATGGAGTCACATGGTCATGTGCAAAACCAAAATCAGAAAGGTCGAACTAGGGCCTACACTCATTAGAAGTTCCCTTTTCTATCTGACAAACTAGATCCTCAACCCAAAGTTCAGTCTGTCACAGGGTGCGCTAGCCCCAGCCTTCCACAAACCACCCTGGAGGACAGTGAGATGAGGAACTGGGAAGGGGACAAGATCCCCCCAGGAGAACTTGGTGACTCAGACGATCACTTTGCTAATGCCAGCTCCAACTGCCCGGCCCCGTTCTCCCTGGAGCTCGGGGTGTCTGCCCTGCAACCAGGTCCCACCTGCTGTCTCCAATGCCTAGGGTCCTCTGTCCGCCATTAGTGAAATTTTTCTGGCGAACCCCCTGTAACGTTCTGCGAACCCCAGTTTGGGAACCACTGGTCTAGAGTGAAGGTGCGGCCTGGCCCAAGTGTCCTTCTCCTCATCTCCATGGCAGGGGGATCCCGGCTGGGAGGGGAAGGGAGAGGGGGGAACTTCAGTCAGGCAGAGGGACCATCTGGAGAAGTTTCTCTCTCTCCCTTCCCCCACCTGTGGCCCATCAGCTCAGCAGCCAGGGCTGCAGCAGGGAGGAGGGGCTGATGGGGGCTTCTCCTCCTCTGCCTGGGGTTTGCTGAGACCAGGCAGAGCCAGAGGGTCACTGACCAGCTGATGCTCAGTTGCTGCTGGATCCTCACCCCAGCGATGGGCAGTTGGATCCTTGGGAGCCAAACGCCCCTGACGTGTGTGGGAACGAGGAAATGGGTTTGTCACCATGGCCGGCCCCAGTCAGGGCCCTGAGAGAATTTCCCCCATGCGTGGAGGAGTCTCTCATGTCCATGGTGGTGTTAGCTCCACTTGGAGACTTTTCCACGCTAAAGGCAGCTCAGGGTCTGCCTACACAGCAACTAGGCACCTGCTGTGGCTGGCCCGTACCAGCCGACTTGGGCTCATGGGGCTCTTTCATTGCTGTATAGATTTCCAGGCTTATTCTGGAGCCTTGTCTCTAGGACCCTGCAAGGTGTGAGGGTCCCAGAGCCCAGGCTCCAGCCCAGGCCCCGACGTTCACATAGGAGTGAACCCAAGCCCCATGAGCCTGAGTCAGCTGTCATGGGTCAGCCACGGGTTTTTCTTTGCTGTGCAGAGAGACCCCAAGGCCGGGGTGGGCAAACTTTTTGGGCCGAGGACCACATCTGGGTGAGTAAATTGTATGCAGGGCCAGGGCAGGGAGTTGGGGTGCGGGAGGGAGTGCAGGGTGTGGGAGGGGGTGCAGTGTGCAGGAAGGGTCTCAGGGCAAGGGACTGGGGCAGAGGAGGGGTGCGGGGTGTATGAGGGGGCTCAGGGAAGGGGGTTGGGGTGCAGAAGGGGTGCACGAGGGGGTTCAGGGCAGGGAGTTGGGGTGCACAGGGGTGCAGGGTACAGCAAGGAGTGCAGGGCAGGGGGTTGGGATGCAGGAGGGGTGTGGGGTGTACGAGGGGGCTCAGGGCAGGGAGTTGGGGTGCAGGAGGGGTGTGAGGTGCAGGCAGGGGGGTTAGGCAGGGAGTTGGGGTGCAGGAGGGGTGTGAGGTGCAGGCAGGGGGGTTAGGCAGGGAGTTGGGGGGCGGGTGCAGGCGGGGTTCAGGCTCAGGCCTGGCGCCGCTTACCTAAAGCAGCTCGGGGTGGCAGCGGCGCACACCAGGGCCAGGGCAGGCTGCCTGCCTGCCTGCCCTGTCCCTGGCCCCGCGCCACTCCAGGAAGCGCTG